GAAGTCTGCACTTGGCCTTGTTGAGCCTCATGAGGTTCACCTGGGCCCACTTCTCCAGCTTGTCCAGGTCCCTCTGGATGGCATCCCATCCCACTAGTGTATCGACCGCAACACGCAGCTTGGTATCATTGGTAAACTTGTTGAGGGTGCTAGTAAATGTAGTAAGACTTGGTAATCCTGAGGAGTGACCATCAGAGAAGGAAATAATATTTTACAGGACTTTTAGTGGATTAATGTAATATATAATGTGATTTTTCCTAATTTACTCCTAATAGTATTTTTCTTACTCTGCCAAGCTCAGTTTCTCACTGGTCAGCCTATGATCAGCTGAGTCTCTATAAAACATGGTTAGTGTGTGTAATTTTAGAAATTATTAAAAGATATCAATAAGAAGAGCAAATATCACTTTGTCATACGTTTGACGTTGAGTAGGAATGGCTTGGTAGTCTGAAGCTATTTATCTCTGTGTATATGTTGTTTTCACATCTTTAGCATTTGTCATTAGTGTCCTTTTTCCATTATTTGTATTTGCCAAGGCTTCAATTTCCTGCAAAATACAAACAAAAGTTATTTATTGACCATTCTGCTTTTCATTACCATAATTTGACCATTTTCATATCATAATTTAACTGGAACACTTTAAGTTTTGTTTTATTTTTAATGTATCATTCTCAGCTTTTCCACGTTTTTTTTTTCTATCATATCTTAATATAACCATATTAATTCTCTGCAGTATGATTTTTAAATTTATATTGTTTATCTCCTTTCCTCCAATTATTTTTTATTATTCTTTTTGGTTTGTTTGCTTTTGTTTTGTTTTATTTCCAGTTGCTGATTTTATGACAGTACAGAACTAAAATTGGCATTTACTCAAGTTTCCCATCTTGATTGTGGAATCTTGGCTTTTTCCTTAATAGTTCAGCCTTACAGAGCTTATCCTTTTTATTTTCAGTCTTAATTTTTTTTTTTTCCTTCCAGTAAATTAATAAAATTTTCTTCTTTCGTGTCAGATAATTTCTTGAAAGAAGTACACTGGTCATGCCCTAACCTCTATTTGTTGTTTCATGCTTTGAATTGCAGATGCATATGGGGGCTTGGGGTGTGTTTTGGTTTTATTTTCTGTCTGATGTGCTTTTCAAAATCTTGGCCTATAGTATATTTTCCTAAGCTTTATGTGCCACCTTCATGTTCTACTAATGAATGTTTGTGTTTAATGCAACAGTATTTCTTGTTGTTTTGTTCACATTTTGTACCTTGCTATTTCACAAAAAAAAAGGATGGTGTGCTGGATCTAACAACCATGACTAAGACTCTGCGCTTTTGAGTATCTTTGGGTTTTCAACTGGTTTGTTTTTTGTTGTTTTTTTTTAAAATATACTTGTTTATAAAACTAATCTCCTGTACGTTCCTACTTTCATCTGTACTCATGCTAAATGTATTTGCTGCAATAGATTGAATTATGTTGTCATCAAGGAGGTGACTGGAGCATGCTTTTTGAGATGCTTCATTCAGTTCCCACCTATACCAGTGCAAGTCTTTGCCACTGAGTTTGAGTAGGCTCTTGATTAACTGGCTTTACTTACCACAGTTCATCTAGAAAAGTTGTTCAGTTCTGTGAATGTAAAGCAAAATGCTTATTGCTTGCTGGGTATCTGAAGGAATAGAGATGCTAGAAGGATGCTGCTTTATCTCAGGTATAGTTGTGTTTTCTTACAGTGATCTTCTGTTTGCAGATTTCTGTAACATATTTGCTTTTGTTATTCATTAGGCATCAAATAGAAACAAATTTACCAAGTACCACTATTGTTAAATCAGTTGAATATCAGCATGTAAAGTATTTGTCTTGCTTTTATTATCACTGTATTTGAACAAGAGACAGGCCTGTGTGCAAAGAAGGCTGTATCTATGCTTCATAAATACACTTAGTAATTTTTATTTCACACCTTTTGTTTCCTTCAAAACACAAATTCAATAGAATAAAGCTAAACAGAGGTTGAAAAATGGCAATCCAGGACACAGTCTCAATAACATATTAAAAAAAGTATTGTTACCTATCTTGTGAGTGGCATGACTCTGCACATCATGAAAGTCAGCACTGGCTTTTCCTTTGGAATGCCAGATTTATTAGTATAATCTTTCCAGTGTCTTTTTTTTACTGTCATATTTTTTTATTTTTAGATTCTGCTCATAGATGTCCTTTTTGAATACGTTCTTGCATGTTAACGGTGTATTCCTTAGAATGTTAAACTATTGTATTTTTAGAGGTAAACATAGTCCTGGATGTTTTACTGAGGTGGATGCATTTAGGTAGGAGTAGCTCTCATTGCTCTCTACCAGTTTGCCATTTGTCCTAGCATTATTCATGTACTCACAGGCACTCTCTGCTGTCCATTTGCCTAGTTTACCTCTATGTTGCAAAGGTATAATGGCTTTACAATATTTTCCACATTGCTTTTCATCTCTTTAATTTTCTTTCTGCTGGCTTTATGAAGCTGAAAATAGAATTTTAGCTGGTTGCTGGCAGCCACAGGAAGCTGAATAATATACGCTAATTAGCTCTGGGTCTTGGCTCATTCTCATGAATATAGACAATTTAGTCTCCCTAACACTTACAAGGTCAATATTTCTAATTCCACACTGGATATATTAATGGATAGAAGTGTTTTGCTTAATTGCATAGGATGCCAATCTCATTTTCAAGATATAATTTTATATTTTGTATTAAAATGGCACATCAGTGATAAATCTTCAGCAGATAACTCAAGATGAAGTATGCATAGAGATTGGTATGACACTATGCTCAGTACTGACCTGAAAATGAGAAGCGTGAGACCAGATTGTCTGCTCATATATTCTGCAACAGAGACAGTGTTTATTTGTAGAGTGAGATGAGGCGTTTATGTGCCACCCCTGTCAGTCTGATACCACTGAATTAAGAAAACAGTTTATACCTGCTGAGGATGCAGTTAGTTTCTCTCGAAGAAAAAAGCTCTCCTGATCCTGTAAGTGGAATAAAAGTTTTTCATCAGCAGTGAAGTTGCAGTTTTCTTTAACTTTGATATTTGGAGTGAAAGCAGCACAGTGATGGCTGGTAGAAGATTATATGCAATGAGATGAGAAGCAGTGAGTATTTATGTTCTTGCTGAGTATTTCTAAGCTAGATGTTTTGCAGATACAAAGGTATTTTTTGTCCTTACAGAGAGAGTGTAGATGGGTTAGAAAGACTGTATGCTTTGCTTCCAGATGTTACAGTGAAAAACTTTCAAGTCAATTTACATGTAGCTTGTGGATGAAACTGTGTAAAAATTGTTCTTTGATGTACTATTTTCTTTGTTTCCCCACTTCAGGTCTCATCATGACCCAAGCAATTTTATTATTTCTTTGTGGTGATTTATCTGTGCTGATAATAAGTATTTTGCCTTTATTTTACTTTCTCATAAATTCTTGCTCTTAATAGCCTGCCTCTTGCATTTTCATAGAAACATAGCATAGTTAAGGTTGGAAGGGACCTTAAAGGTCATCAGGTTCCAACCTCCCTGCTAAGAGCAGGGATACCTTGCACTAGACCAGGCTGCACAAGCCTCATCCAACCTGGCCTTAAACACCTCCAGGGATGTGGCATCCACAACCTTCCTAGGCAACCTATTTCAGCACCTAACTGTCCTGGTTTTGAGTACTTCCCTTTAGCAGTATTCCTAGTGACCCGATTCCTGTACATCCACAATTTCAGTAGACCATATTTGTACCAGCATCAGTAAATAAATACACATAGCTGCACCCCAGAGTCCATAAATAGAGTTGACTATGATAATGGTCATATTTCTGACATGTATGCTTTGAACAAGAATATTTTTTTTGTTTGGTTTTGTACCTCCCCCTGCCCAACTGGCTCATTAAAAAAAAAACCCTAATGGAGATAGAAATTTATAAAGCATATTCACTCTTTAGTCTCATTGGAAAATCAGAATGGCTTTAAATAAGGTAAAAGTCAGACCTTAGTCAGAACCTGTGCTAGAGAAGGATGTGCTGAAATCAGTTGAAAGATGGTGTGGTATTTGCTCATTTTTGTGAGGATCATGGACTGATACAATGAGAACTACCAAAAGAGCTGGTTTATCAGAACAGGTGTTACAAGACAGCTGCTTTAACTAGATAGGCACAGTAAGCTGAGGGGAGTTGTGATGGTGTACATATGTTGTACCAGTATGTTCTGAAGGAGGTACTTTTGGTTGGAGGTGCATGCTTGCCTTTTTGAGTATCCTTAACCCATCATTTCCCCAGGTTTCAAGCAGTGCCTTTGTGTAACACTTGTTTGTGGTTTGCCTGAACTCCCCACAAGTTCTATAGGTGCAAGGATATTGCTGCAGGAAAAAAAGCAGAGTGAAAAATCCTTCTGCGATAAAAGCATGAGCTTTGAAAAATACGCTTGGTTCATGTATAGCTCCTGCTGTATGTGGAAAAATCCTCAGGTTTCAAAGAAACTTGACTTGTTACAACAGGACTTCTGTCAGAATTGTGAAAACTGTGGCTTTTACAGACACCCCATTATAATGGGATCCTTTGCTTTGAACTTTACATATCTGTGGCTGAGCTAATTGCACAAGGTTCCCATCATTGTGGAAAGAAATGGACAACTTTAATCTGCCTGTCCTCTTATACTCATTTAGGCATCTAACACTGGTCCCAATAACCTGCTGAAGCATTGACTACTTCTTTTCATTGATTCTAAAAGAAGACTGGCACAATGACTCTGATGTACATGCTTCAGTATAAATACCAACTTTATACATATGCAGTCAGTCCTTGAAGCTGAAAATCTGTTTTAGAAATTGTCTTACTCCCTAGCCCAAAGGACTGTAAGTTAAGACAGTCCCTGAAAGAATTTAGAGTCCTAACTACCAGTCACTTAACTTTTCATTTAAACACTAGTAACTTTTTTTTTTTTTTACTTAAACACAAGTAATAATAATTTTTATCTTCTTTTTTGTTTTTCTCCCCAGAAACTACCTCTTCAGGTTGCAGCTTGAGGATCTCTCTCTAATACAGGTATTTTATCTGTTTATCTATCTATCTATCTATCTATCTATCTATCTATCTATCTATCTATCTATCTATCTCCTCTGCATTATGTAGGTAAGCAGATGATTTAAAGCAGATAATCAAGATATTAATAAGCTTCGTAACTATAGATAAATGTGCATCTGGTTTTGTCCTCCTTGCATCCCCATATTATATAAGTCATATTATCCATTTTAATTCCAGATTAGCCTTTGTTCAAGGCCGTACAGACCTAATGTTACTTTATTCTCTGCTGTGATTTTGTTAGGGTGGATCTATAAAAATGGAGGCTGGGAAGGAGAATCATGTTTTTTGAAGCTCCAGATCTTTCAAACTTTAAACTCTGTTGCGGTTGAGGGAGGTAGGAACAAAACTGAGAAGCCAAGTAAAAGTTATATTAAATCCTTCCTTGCACAATTTCACAGGAGAAAGCATACTGTGGTTTAACTCATTAATACTGTATGTGCTAGTTAGTATTTATTTGCCAAGGGACCGAACACTTTGACACTTAATGTATGGACAGAAGAACTTTTAGCATGTTTTTCCCTCACACAATTGTTGTAATAATAGTAATAGTGATAATAACAACAACAACAAATAGATAAAGACCCAGTTTAATTCTTCTACTTATATTTCTCACTTTCATTATTTTACTTCAATAAGCCTTTGTAAAAACATGCAGGTGTTTCACTGGCTATTATGGCTATGTTTTCACATCTGGAAGAAAAGGTACATGGTGAAGTGCTAACTGTAAGAGGCTCTCAGTGTAGCACGACAACAACACAAAAGGGCTAGAAGAGGACAACCTATACACCTGTTGTTTAATTATTTTTACAAAATTGCTCAAGCTTTATCATTGCTATTGTATGTCTTAAGGAGGAGTAAAATTGATGACTATTCCTCATGCACAGCAGATACTTCCAGCATGGAAGCAAGGCTGATTGTTACAATTTTCATCCTCCTCTTCTACAGTTTTCATTTAGAGTTTTAGAACTGTTTATTTTGTTTACATTGATGCTTTGATTTTTTTAGTTTAATTTGTCAGTTTGTTCTTCTTGTGGCATGTTTCTATCTGGGAAATAAAGGGAATACCTAAAACTTAATATTGTCCTTTGATGCATTTACATTATTTTTGTACAAGCAAGTTTCCTTGTATGTCAAGCTTAGATGTCTATTGTAATGTGTTGCTAGGTTTTTCCACACACTGCTATGAAGAAAATAAAAGCCTTCATATTATATGTAACAAATGGAAACAACAGAAGTCGTTTAGTTGTAGCAAAGCATATTTGCAAATATTTTAAAAATATGGACATTTATAAATATTGTTTTTGAATATTATCAAACATTGGAATATTATCAGGTACTGTTTTGTAATATGAAAGCCGTCTGAAAGGAAAGAAAATAATTACTCCTTGTTAGCAAACTTTGGCAAAAATTACTTTGTGCCATAATATTTATATGCCCTATTTTTACAAGTGTGTACCTGGAAAATAGTTTTGAAACACAAAACCAGATGGCCATTTGAAATGCAAGTTCTCACAAAAGAAATGCAGAACAGATATTCATTTATTAAAAGGGTACTGTTTTCATCAGTTTAGTGGAAGTTAATCCCTTGTAAAAGTGAGGGTCAGAGTGCTACTAGACTGCATCAGAAAGGATGTGTATATAAACCTGAGCTAGGACTATGCAGTGAGGCATCGTTGCCATTGTGGGTACATCAAAGTTGTCATCCCACGCGTCATGGTTCTGTGCTCTGCACTTTGCAGGAAAAGCCTGTTGTTTGAGTAAGCAAGTTTCATACGATGGTGTCTGTAGCAAACCAGTATTTGACATGTCTCAGCAATTTCCTTTGTGTAGCAAAATAAAGAAGACTAACACGAGTGAAAGCCTTTTAAGCTCTTGCTGGAGAAGCCTAAGAGTGAAATTGTTCAAAGCATTGTTGGAACAATGCATGCATACCGATTATGGATTTAGGAAAGAAGCACTCACTGGGCTGTGGTTGTAGAAGGACAAGTATTTTTACCTCTCACTGCTATATGGTAGGCTCACAGATACAGAAGGCCTGACTCTGCAGTTTTGTTTTGTGTGTCTTGCTTTGTTATTCCTCACCTCAATTAATAGTAGAATAATCCATCAAAACATTGGCCAAGATGAAAGCTGGATTTCCTGAAAACTCTCTTATATTCCTTAAAAGTGGAAATCTAAATAGTAGTGTTTAAGTTAATAGATTTGATTTAAAAAATGGTTTTTAAAAAGATACATAGTCAGTGTCAGGATTCATAGTAGGACTTTGACAACAATGTAGAGGATGTTTCTAAAAAGTGTCTGTTTTTAATCTTTTTTCCCCAAGTTCTTTGAGAGTTTCTGAATTCAAATATTTGTTTGTGTCTACCTTCTTGACAAATTTGCCGATATATCTGTAAAGACTGAAAAGCTAATAATGCTGGCTTGTAAAAGTCTTTATACCACAATTACCATAAACATGTTTACAAGCCAGCAGGTATAAGCCTTTCACAAACTTAATGGAACACATGCATCTTTTCTTCATCTGTAAGATAAACTTTACAAATTGAGATTGTTAAGACATTTACCGGGTACATGCTTGAGTTTGCTTTCTCATCTGAATCTTCCACCTATGAAGCCTGTTGCCAATTTGCAATACCCAGAGGGCTGAATATAAGCCTATTCCACCTGACCCTGTAGTTATATAATTCTTCTCAGATTTTATTCTCATGCTGTATCTACACATTTTCAGTTTAAAATATGCATACCTCAAAGTCAATTTTAAAAGGCAATTTTAGCCCCTAGTTTACAGCAAGGTTCAAATTAAATTCTTCATGCAGGCTGAGAAGGTTGGAGGGTTTTTTTCATGTGTTTTATTCAACTTGAAATTTTGGAATATTGAGGGCTTTTTGTTTATATAGGTAGATGTAGATGTGTGTGTGTGTTTATATATACACACACCCATCAACAAGACACTCAAGGAAGTAAAGGCAAGACTGGATCTATGAATTGTCAGGAAGAGGAGATACTTTGGAGAATGACTTTTACCAAAGGGAATTATTGCTGGTGTTTACATGTGTAGTGTCTGAAGTACCCATTACATGTGATAATTCACTTTTATGTGAGCCATTAATGGCTAGATGTTAGGTTGAATTATGAGTTATGTGAATTGTGATATACTTTGAATATGTACTTAGTGTCTATCTGTGTTACACAAGGAGGGAATCTGACTTAATGATAGATGTTTTTTCATATCTGTAACCTAAAACATTTTTATAATTTTTTCCTTAGTTGTAATACAGAATATATTTTTTAAACAGCACTTCAATAAAGTATTTACCAGACATGTAATCTCATTTTCAAAATAACAATTGCTTGCTATTATCATAAAATGAGATAATCTTATCGCTTTAGTGAGACACTTTCATAACCTAAATTTGTCTTTTTGGCAATGGTGGTATTTGGCCCGATCTAGAGAGAACAGTGTCCTAACAGAGGTGCAGACTCTCCTTACAGTTCAATTTTGGAACAGTGCCCTAGGGTTCCCTTTGCTGCAAACAAAATGAAGCATGTGAGAAGTAATTGTGTAGAATCAAGTCTTTAATTTATGCTGGTATTAAAACCATTCAGTTATAATGAATTACAACTTCTGAGATAAAGATAAGGAAGCAAGGCTTTAAACTTCTAATTTCCTTAATTTGTGGAGCTGCCAAATAAATAGAACCTGTTAAAAGGTGGCTTGGTGCTCTTCCTGCAACTTTCATTCATTTTATTACCATCTACTTAGTTTCTGTGTTGTATGTTACTTACAGTCACTAGTTTCTTAAGAGATGTCTGATTTGTGAAATACATGAAAGAAACATAATGATTCATCATTTTATTTGGGGATGAAGCTATGTGTATAGAAAAGGAAATGCAAGGAAACTTTCTCTGATTTCACACTTGAAGGGAACTAACTTAAGGCTGTTCTTAACTTGTGACAGTCATAGGCTGACAACATTTAAATGCGAAGTAGACTGAGATTTAACATTCTGTTTGGGGCCCTAAGAGGGGAAAAAAATCAAAACAAATTAAAAAAACCTTCTGTTGGGTTCTCCTGTGCCTAGTATCTACTTAAGGGTGAGGGGAATATAGAGTGTTCCTCCCTATTACGGATGTTTTTTTCCTCTTCTGTATGCAAAGGGAGCACCACCCACCCAAACATTATTTCTGCTTTGCTCCCTCCTGTTTGTGTCTGGTATATGTAAATGAAAAATTTATAAGCAGAGCAAGTAAGTTAGGGATACTTTTGTTGCTGTTCCAAGATCCTAGAAAGCTTGGAAGATAAGGGAGCTACTAGTAGTCATAAAGCTTACAAAATTTTTAAAACATAAAACTCACCAAAGGATACTGAAGTGAGCAAGTTGCAGAGGGACCAGAAAGTGATAAAACAGATGCAAACTTCTGCTTAGGTGATAGGGAGGAGCAAAACTTGAGGAGGCATTTGGACTGTTATTTTTTATATAAGATGATACAGAGTTTAAAAGAGAAAAAATAAAAAGACAAAGCACAGTACAACTGTGTATAACAATGGCACTTGTATACAATATATTCTCCTCCTTGATACCCTTCTGATGGCAGACTGTTGGATTTTGTTATACAGCAAGTCTGCACATAATTACATTAGACAATTGGGAATTTAAGAAAGACTTAGGAAGTATTCGTGAAACCAGAGCTTGTCCTATGGGGCATGTAGAGGTGGACCTGGTGGCTCCTCTTACATCCATTACAGTTCTTTTTCTGTTGTGCTGTTAGTATTTTTTGTTATATTTTTTTCTGCATCCAGAACAGTACTTTCTGACCACAATTATAACTTGGTTGAAGCCAGAAAAAGCTGAATTTGGCTAGCAATGCATAATTTCACATACTTATAATTTTTTACCCAAAATACCTCTTTTACATGCAGCTGAAAAGGGCTTCCTCAAGCTAGATCAAAGACGATAGAT